GAAGCCTAATTGAAGGAGATTTAGATGTAAATTAATTTTAATAGGTTTAGATCAACTTACTGAAAAAATAAATCTATATGCATTTTTGTATAATATGTGGGAACTCTGTGGTTATCAAAGGAAATAGAATTGAAATGAAAATTGCTGTTATTTTTGTTTTTGGTCACATAGCTGGTCTTGTTATTTCCTGTTACATATATTCTGTTTATCTGAAAAGGATTTCCTAATGAATCTTACTTTCATTAAAAAACATACTGCAAGTTTGCTGGCTTATGATAAGGGAAAGTATAATTTGCAGGTTAACTATATGTAATGTCTGTCTGTTCTTTACATCTTTAATACACACATGCTCTTTGAATTAAGATAATGACTGAGTAATCATCTGGAATTACTATCCACATTTCAGTGCCATTGGTAAAGCATTTACAAACTGTAAAAGTTGGCATTATACATAGAAATAATATGTCAATGAAAATTATGTACATTTAGAAAAATGGGAAATGTGCAATTTTGTTTGATGGGTTTTCACTTTAGGCAGTGGATGTTTTTTATTTAGCCTATGCCTGTAGGCAAATGCAGATAGGGATTCCTGATGATACTAAACATGATAAAGGGCCTGGCTATGATAATTTGTCACTTGTCACAAGGACCGTGAATTTTTAGCCAATATCATTTATTTGGTTATATAGAGACATCATGTCTGCCTTTTCCGTGTTTTAGGAAGAAAAAAAAATCTGTTCTACCTTCAAGGTATAGGGGCTTGAATTATGACTATTCTTTGGAGTTGAATTAAAATGATTTAGTAGTCTTGTTATCAGGGTTGATCTAAGTAACACTGACACAATTCACAAACAATTGTTGATGAAAACTTTGTTTTTAATGTGCTGTTTTAAATGTGTTGAGAAAATGATATCACTATCAGTATGGTAGTCATCTAAACAGTCATGCTTCTCACACAAAACAGTACCATTTTTATTATTTATTTATAATATATATGTAGGTTTTAAGATGTTTATGTTGAACTCACGTATCAAGCAATCTCATTTTTGTATTTTTATTGCATCTGCATGGGTATTGCACATCTTTTTTGTTTTATTTTGTTTTTTGGCTTATGACTACCAAGGAATAGTGATAATACCTATCATATATATCATTACAGAGTTGCGGAAGACTATGAGCGGCATAGTCAAGAAGCTTTGAGTGATATAGAAAAGCATTTGGGCAACCCAGTGAATGCATACTTGTTAGTGAAAAGGTTCACAATAGACTGGGAAAGAATTGTAGATGGACTTGTTAAAGCTAATTCCACAGGTAAGACTGATTATGTAACCTTTTGTTGCTCACCGTTATGATAATTCAGTCTTCTTACATGTGGCATGGCCTGTGATCACTTAATGTCGAAAAATCTAGGTCCACACATTTAAACATATGTTCACACTCTGAAGAAAAAGAAATCAACCTCCTATACTTATTTATTAGTTTAAGAGGAAAAGTGTTTAACTCTAAAAATTCAGAATCAAAGTGTGAATGTCAAACCAAGGGTGACCAGAAGTCCTGACAATAGAGGTATACACTCCATTATGTGAAATCTTTTACTATTTGCATTTTATATATGATTTTCAGATTTAATTGCTCGTCTTCACAATAGAGGGTCAGAGTTCCCAGTGCAAGAAGACTTCGAGGGGGCTGCAACTGCCTTGCTGAGGTTACAGGACACTTACAACCTCCCAACTGCTCAGATTGCCAAGGGGGAACTGCAGGGAGTCAAGAACTCTCCAGAAATGACAGGTAAGTCTTACCTGTAAGGTCTTTCTGCTAGGAAGCTTTTTTCAAATTCTAGATAATATTTGATCAAATAATTTGTGAACTTGGTGATTTGATTTGTAGGGTAAAAATTCACTTCATTTCCAGGGCAGATTCAGTGGTATTAATTATCATTTTGTTTATAAAATTTGTAAATGTTTAATTAATAATCCCAATTATCTAAACATACTGTTAATGTTCAAGTTATGTATTTACTAGTACTTCAGTATTGCTTTATGACCAACCAAGTCCTTTACTTCATTAGACATTGATTTCAGATTAAAAAAGTAGCTTTGATTTCAGAATACGATTGTGGGTTGAATATTAACAAACCAATGCTTGATCCCTGGAGCTTGCCATTTAGTATGCACACAGATATTGTAGTTTAGTTGACAGGCCCTCAGGCAAAGGGGGGGGGGCTGGAGGATTGGAACGGACTGCCCTTTTGGTTTGGAAAATGTCCACCCTGAGTCAAATTTGGATAAAGCTTCTGTGAAGTTTTAACATACACAAGTTGCATGACAAAAAGGTACACCTTTTCTGATAAAGAACCACCTTCCCCTCCCCCTTAAAATTGCTTGTCTACAGGCCTGGTTGATGTAATTATTAGTTGTTTAGTACTAACTGCTTGGTGCCTATCTTGTTTGTGTGTTTTGTTTCAGCTGAGGATTGCTTTGAATTGGGCAGAACTGCCTACAATGCTGGAGATTATTATCACTGTATTTTATGGATGGAGGAGGCATTAAACACACTTGATACAGAAGTTAACAAAACAGCTGACCGAGCTTTGACAATAGATTACCTTGCCTATTCACTATATAGGGTAAGCACTTAACAGCAAAACCATGTTGCATGTCATCACATGTATATGACTGTGTGTGTTTGTGTGTTTAAGAATGTGAGATGTGGAATGCCTTTGCATGAAACACCCTTGAAGAGAAAAATACAGTTATATGATATAAAGTGTCTTATAGCAATGTGCATGTTACCCTAGTAAGGCCATACAGACCGTGTCCCATGTACCAGGAATTATTGATATTTAATCAAGAATTTTAATAAAAAAACTAAAATGGGTGGAGCAACCAGTGATATGGGTGCACAGGTCTGCTGCCTGCTTATACATTGACTTGGATATAGAAAATTCCAGATTGTTTTGTTGGTGTCTGACACAATGTTGCTCTGTACACAAATGAACTCTTACATTGAGACCTTTGTCCTGAAGAAAAATTGCCCTTTGTCATTAATAGCATTATAAGAATGCAGGGATGAAAATTTAGCATGCGAGCACCGACTAACAGTACCATACATTAATCAAACCAAGATAACCTGACTTAAGCGAAGATGCAACATACTCCTGGTATATATCCAAAAGCAATACTGCTTGACAAAGTTATGAAATTGTCACAGAGTTTAAGGAAGATAGCATGCAAGCACCAACTAATTGCTGTAACAGGTTGGAGATATCCAATCCATTATTTCACTATGGTGTGTGTGTTTTTAGCGGAGGAATGTTTTGTACTGGGCAAGTATGCCTACACTGAGGGGAACTGGTACCACACGGTGAACTGGATGCAGCAGGCCCTGGCTATCTGGCATAAAGAGGAGGTTAAAACTGTCGGCATGGGGGAGATTATGGACTATCTGGCATATGCTCTCACAATGGTACTATGTTTGGGGTGCAAGTATTTAGATTCAGCTGTCAAAGTATTATGTATAATTAGCAAACTTATGTTATGCTTTTAAGATCCTAGTTCCTACTTATGTAAACATTATTTGTCTAATGCTGCTATAAGATATAGCTTCCAATTATATATATTTGAAAGTTATTTATGGGTGTGTTGTATATCTCATGCTGACATGATTGGTTTGGGATTCATGAATCTTTATGCAGAGATGTGTAACATATCGTGTGCTTGGTTGCATTGGTTGTGTCCCTGGTGTCATGCTTTTAAAAACGTATTTATATCCCCAAACAACTGGCATGGCGCTGGCAGGTGGATAGAAATATTTACAGCAGATGCCTGAAAGACAGAAAAAATGAAAGAAAGGGTTGTTGCTCTTGCAGCAAAACCTGGGTTGAATGGACTTTCTTTTTCTTGCATTGTGTTGAATTTGAAATATTTCAATACTTGGTTTCAGTTTTATTAATTTAATGTAAAAGATCAGTATCCCTTGGTTCCAATGTTACTTGAAAAGATTTCATTAAGATTTATTTATCTCACGCTAGACACAAAAATAAGTAGTGTACATTGACTAAAAAGTGTGTGTGTTTGTGTGTGTGTTAATCAGTTATTGAGAAAATTGGTCTTGGGAAAGGAATGTTAGAATTTGAAGCTTGTATTGATCAGAATCCCAGCTTTGGTCTATGGTCGTTTTAGATTTTTGATAAATGCTTTATTGCCATATTTAATGTTTACACTACTTCCTGTTAAATGTTAACTGTTCTTCAGTACATTTTTCCTGTTTATCAAAGTCATTGTTAGTGTTTATTAATGATACTTGAAAATATTCTTTAACAGTTCAGTTTTGTAAACAAAGTATTATTTTTATTACAATTTTTCTTCCTTTCATCTTTCCTTCTCTCCTTCTTTGAATTCTATGTTCACCTTTTTTACAGCAAGGGAATATCCGCCATGCTTATTTACTTACTCAAGATCTTCTTAAGATAGGTAAGATCAACATTTTATAAGAGGTACAATGTTTAAATGAATGTATATTTATATATTTTACAGCAAGGGAATGTTGAGCATGCACGCAAGCTCACCAAACAACTGTTAGAACTTGGTAAGCAAGGAAAAGTTTGTGATGACAAAACTTTTCGTGTGATGTGGTATGAAGCTCTCTCATGGTCAGGGGCATCTGTTCACTTTCACTGTGTTCATTTCTGAAATCCAGTTGTGCTTGACTTTTAAAAGTGAATTGCTTTCTCTGTTTTCTGTTCTTTATTTCAGTGCTCAGAATTCTATTTGACTTTTAAAACTGAACACATTATAATTTTCAATCTGCACACAAATATCTACAGTCTTCAATTTTGTTCCTCTTTTTTTTTAATAAATTGACTTATTTATCATCAAGTTGTATAACCAAAGCATGTCTTTTCAAACAAAATGACTAAGAACACACTGACCTGAGTTACAATTGTGCACCATCTAGAACAAGCAGAAGTTAACTCCAGCTTAGTATCCAAAAGTTACTCCTGTTTTTTTTTTTTTTTTTTTTTTTAACTTTCATGTCAATTTATAAAACAATTTCTGATGTATTGTTTGGGTTTAGTGTAACAACTTTTCTTTTGGTTTAGTTTTTGGATCGAATCAAAAAAGTTAATTTTTTCCTTAGTATTAAATTATGACTTCATATCTTTTATGCTTTTTATGGGCATTTTGAAGGTTATCAGCTTCAAGCTTTTTATGTCTTTTGCAGTTATTAATTTCAATTAGCATGTTTTCTAATTTTCACATATTGACATCTTTTATTTTAGGTTAGTAGTATATGTAACACATCTTAATTTTTTTGAAACATTTTTTTGTTTTCTAAATTGTTCCACTTGGAATGAAGTAAACATGTTGACGTAAACAAGAATTCCATCCAATTATATACAAAAAAGTAATCATACAAGGAAATATCAATTAGGGGAAATTATGTTTACTTTACCTTATTTACATTGATGACTGAGTTAATCAATCTGATACATTCTTTTGTCATGAACTACATGATTAGTGGATTAGTTATCATGTGGTAGTGTCCATTATTTGTGTAAAGATATTTATGTCCACAGTGTGGCAAATGAATTGATTTGAGTCAAAAATACCCTTTTAATATTGCCAGATGATGTTTTGTTTTGGGGTCAAATTGCTGCATTTAACTAAACTCTCTGTTTATGTCAGATCCCAATCATCCAAGAGCCGTCAATAATTTACGCTATTATGAAAAACTGCTGGAGACGGCTGATCAGGAAAAAAAGCGCGGAGAAGAGGAAGATTTGCCAGAAATTCAAAACCAGCGACTTCTTGATGATTACAGAAAGGGTCAAGAATTCAAGCAGTATGAAGCTCTTTGTAGAGGAGAGGATATCATTGTAGGTGTTTATGCAAATGATTATTGGTAGCTGTTTCCTTTACTGTAAATGTGATTTCACATAATTTTTTTCTTGCATTGAAGTGTTTAATGTTTTTTCATAAAAATGACAAATATCAAGTTAACATGTAGGAAAATTTGGTCATTGTGATTCATGAACTGCTGTCATATTGTCTCGAATGTTGTTATTAGAGATGAAATGCAAAAATGAGATTTGCAGGCTAGCTCTAGTTATTTCAATATGGTTATTGGTGATTTTTTTCAGTTGGTTTTTTAGAGAATTTTTTTCTGTTGAAATATTTTTGGAATCTGATAATTTTTTTCAGCCTGATCCCAACAAACACAAGCTGAAATGCCGTTACACACACAACAATCGTCCTAATCTGTTATTACGGCCTCTGAAGGAAGAGGAGGCATTCTTGGATCCAAGGATTTTGTTTTATCATAACATGCTCTCAGATTTTGAAATAGAGACAATAAAAAGGCTTGCTGCACCTAAGGTAAGCATTCATGTAATAAAAATGAATGATTTATTTATTCATTTATACATCGTTTCCACCCTGAAAAAATATTCAACAAACAAAATCTGAAAGCAAAATTTAGGTCAGTGAATAAGACCTGTAATGGCCGAGTTGCTATGATCCACATGTATGCATGTGCATGGTTATATATTTATATAAAGGTATCCATGTAATATATATATTTATATAAAGGCATGTAGAAAGACCTCGAACTGAATTTTGCTGGTGTATATTAAGCAATGCTGTGGCACATACTGAAACCAGCTAGTGGATCAATGACTTGACATTTTACTCTTTGTCTTGTTGCATGTTTTAATGGGTGTTATGCATGTAGCTTATTATAAATACTATCAAAAGTATAGTTAAATATTTGGATAAAATTGACTGTTTGAGCCGAATTGTTGCATCAGAAATGTAAGTCATTTTTATTCGGAGTAATGCATGTTTGTAAAAATGATCATCAAAATATATGTGTTTTGATAAAGCAACAATTGTTTGTTTCTTACTTGATTTCATTAAATTCATTTGCGTGATGAAAATTGAATTGTATGCTTTAATGTAATCAACATGCACAATTTTTTGTCACACTTTTGTTTTCTTAAAATTCTATCAGCAAGCTTTTATTCAACTGTTAATCTATTACCACTTTAGAATTGTCTCTATTCAATTCATCCATTGCTAGTTGGGTTTATTTGAAATATTTACACAATGAGTGCTGCTCTGTAGAAATGTTTTCTTTTGTTTGATTTAATTGGAATTTGGATAACATGTCATTGGGGCTGAGATAACATTTATTATGAAATTTTATATTGCAGAAAGATATGAAATGCATGAATTGAAATAGAGATATTTGTTACTTATAGTGTAAATATTCTTTGTGAATTGCATGTTCTCTTGCACTCTCTTTATTGGCTATAATGATATGTTTTGTTTTACTGTTGTTATTGCTTAACCCTCTATTTTTTATTTTATCTCAAATTCTTTGTAGTTTCACATAGAATGTGTGCATTTCAGCTTAAACGTGCTACAGTACAAAATGTATATACAGGACAACTGGAACCTGCATTCTATAGAATAAGTAAAAGGTAAAGGAGAGCTTCATAGTTTCAGACCAGGAAGGCTGTGTGCATGAAATATAAGATAGAGGAAGTTGTGTTCTTCAGTTTAAGATGGAGATAGTTTTGTGATTTGGATTGTTTAAAAAGCATGGGATGGCATGTGCATGGAATAAAAGTCCCAATTTAGGTGGAAACCATGATACTCTTGAATCGTATTTTAATGCCTGAAATATCTACTGTGCATGCCTCATATTATCATTATTTGTGCGGGTTTATTTTTTATAGTTGACATTTTAATCAAAATATGTTTTGCAGTTAATTCGAGCCACTGTTCAAAATCCCCAAACTCTTCAACTTGAACCTGCCAAGTACAGAATAAGTAAAAGGTAACAAAGAAAAATAGAATTTTTTTTGGGGAAAAAATGAAAGAAAATGATTGATACTCCACGCCCATCCTTGCTCGTGACCAGCTTAATCCCACATGGGTCATACCATCTTATATTTCTGTTTCAGCTTTGTGCCTCATCTGGGTCAGCCTTTTCAGGTTTTACAGTTATATATTTCGTTCTGCATATCTGGGTTGATCAGAGTATAGCTTCTGATCTTGGGTAATGCTTTTAATTTTCTGTTTCAATTTTTCTTTCCTTCCTTTGTGTTTTTACAGCTTGCTCGGGCAACTGCAATGAATCTCCAAACAGGTCGTTACGAGCCTGCATTTTACCGCATAAGTAAAAGGTAAAGTGTTGCTTGTATATTTCATCAATTTTTATGTTTTGTGTAGACATGTGACTCATCTGTTAGCATGTTTACTAATAACCATACTGTTTCCCTGAGAATGACAAAGTTCACTCCTAAAACTTATGACTGCTTTTCCCCCAAAGGTTTTGGTAATTGGTGATGTTGTCCAAGCTTGGTTCATGATTGGGTTGTTTAGCGTCAGTTAATGTTGAATTTCTGGTGCCAGGTGGTAAAGGTTTACGTTATGTTCCCCAATGTGTCTGTCTAACTCGAGTTAAAATTGGTTGTTGTTTAGGTGTTTTTTTAAAGGCAAAAGCTACATTTTTGTTTTTGTCTGTAACATTTTTTTTCTGAATTTGAATGGCAGCTTAAGTTGATATTGCAGCAAGTGCTGTTCTTTTGAACTTCATTGTTCTATCAATTGAGTGGAGACACTTCCATAGCATTTGCAGTCAATCAGAAGATGAAATGCACATTTTTTTCCTTTCTTTTACTTTTTTCTACTTCTTTTTTAAAACGAATTTTTGTTTCATTGTTTTTTATAATTCTTACAATTTTTCTTAACCAACCATTTATTTTGTTTAATCTTGGATATAATGGGTTGAAGACTTATGTTTTGTTGGTGGCAGGCTTTCAGGAAAATGTACGTAAGATGGTATGTAGCACAGATATGCTTATCTCTGAGCAACCCTTGATCTTTTGTAATACCTTTTCATATTAAATTCGGATTATGAAAGGTATAATACCACTGCTTCCCTAATGCCTCAATACACTCAAGCCCAGTAGCTTTAATAGATCTGTGAATGTAACCCTCTGTGAACTGAAAATGTAATTTTCTATATTCTACTCACAAATGTAAAATACTCATTCTTATGTAAGCAAAATTTTATAAGCAATGTATGGAATATATAAAAGTATTAATTTGAATGGTTGGATTTTAAACTACTCAGGGTTTTTAGGTTTGTTGTTCTTGACCCACATTTAGGTTAGGGACAAATATGTAAAAGTGATTTTTGAAGATCAGCAGGAAGATTTTTGTTGTTATTTTTTGTGAGTTTCTACTCTCTAGATATGTTTTCTATTTGTTATATTCCCTCTACACATATCAGAANGTTATTGCTTAACCCTCTATTTTTTATTTTATCTCAAATTCTTTGTAGTTTCACATAGAATGTGTGCATTTCAGCTTAAACGTGCTACAGTACAAAATGTATATACAGGACAACTGGAACCTGCATTCTATAGAATAAGTAAAAGGTAAAGGAGAGCTTCATAGTTTCAGACCAGGAAGGCTGTGTGCATGAAATATAAGATAGAGGAAGTTGTGTTCTTCAGTTTAAGATGGAGATAGTTTTGTGATTTGGATTGTTTAAAAAGCATGGGATGGCATGTGCATGGAATAAAAGTCCCAATTTAGGTGGAAACCATGATACTCTTGAATCGTATTTTAATGCCTGAAATATCTACTGTGCATGCCTCATATTATCATTATTTGTGCGGGTTTATTTTTTATAGTTGACATTTTAATCAAAATATGTTTTGCAGTTAATTCGAGCCACTGTTCAAAATCCCCAAACTCTTCAACTTGAACCTGCCAAGTACAGAATAAGTAAAAGGTAACAAAGAAAAATAGAATTTTTTTTGGGGAAAAAATGAAAGAAAATGATTGATACTCCACGCCCATCCTTGCTCGTGACCAGCTTAATCCCACATGGGTCATACCATCTTATATTTCTGTTTCAGCTTTGTGCCTCATCTGGGTCAGCCTTTTCAGGTTTTACAGTTATATATTTCGTTCTGCATATCTGGGTTGATCAGAGTATAGCTTCTGATCTTGGGTAATGCTTTTAATTTTCTGTTTCAATTTTTCTTTCCTTCCTTTGTGTTTTTACAGCTTGCTCGGGCAACTGCAATGAATCTCCAAACAGGTCGTTACGAGCCTGCATTTTACCGCATAAGTAAAAGGTAAAGTGTTGCTTGTATATTTCATCAATTTTTATGTTTTGTGTAGACATGTGACTCATCTGTTAGCATGTTTACTAATAACCATACTGTTTCCCTGAGAATGACAAAGTTCACTCCTAAAACTTATGACTGCTTTTCCCCCAAAGGTTTTGGTAATTGGTGATGTTGTCCAAGCTTGGTTCATGATTGGGTTGTTTAGCGTCAGTTAATGTTGAATTTCTGGTGCCAGGTGGTAAAGGTTTACGTTATGTTCCCCAATGTGTCTGTCTAACTCGAGTTAAAATTGGTTGTTGTTTAGGTGTTTTTTTAAAGGCAAAAGCTACATTTTTGTTTTTGTCTGTAACATTTTTTTTCTGAATTTGAATGGCAGCTTAAGTTGATATTGCAGCAAGTGCTGTTCTTTTGAACTTCATTGTTCTATCAATTGAGTGGAGACACTTCCATAGCATTTGCAGTCAATCAGAAGATGAAATGCACATTTTTTTCCTTTCTTTTACTTTTTTCTACTTCTTTTTTAAAACGAATTTTTGTTTCATTGTTTTTTATAATTCTTACAATTTTTCTTAACCAACCATTTATTTTGTTTAATCTTGGATATAATGGGTTGAAGACTTATGTTTTGTTGGTGGCAGGCTTTCAGGAAAATGTACGTAAGATGGTATGTAGCACAGATATGCTTATCTCTGAGCAACCCTTGATCTTTTGTAATACCTTTTCATATTAAATTCGGATTATGAAAGGTATAATACCACTGCTTCCCTAATGCCTCAATACACTCAAGCCCAGTAGCTTTAATAGATCTGTGAATGTAACCCTCTGTGAACTGAAAATGTAATTTTCTATATTCTACTCACAAATGTAAAATACTCATTCTTATGTAAGCAAAATTTTATAAGCAATGTATGGAATATATAAAAGTATTAATTTGAATGGTTGGATTTTAAACTACTCAGGGTTTTTAGGTTTGTTGTTCTTGACCCACATTTAGGTTAGGGACAAATATGTAAAAGTGATTTTTGAAGATCAGCAGGAAGATTTTTGTTGTTATTTTTTGTGAGTTTCTACTCTCTAGATATGTTTTCTATTTGTTATATTCCCTCTACACATATCAGAAGTGTAAATACCCAGCTTTTTCCCTACCCTTACCCCAATAATGTTATCAACTATATACCCTATTAGAGAAGTGGAACATTAGATGGCACACATTGTCTGTATAGTAAACAGTTTGCCCTCATAGACATTTTGAATGTCATGTGCCATGTGATTCTGTTTTAGCTTGCCGTTTCGGGTGTGTTTCATAAACATGGAAGGGTACAGTATAGAACTAGTAAAAGGTAAAATTAATAGTCTAACCGTACAGTTGGTCTTACTGAGTACAGATTCGATTCTTTTCTTTTAAACTTTGTTTAACTTTCTGGTCATTTTCTTAGATTTCAACAGTTATGTAGGAGGTGCATATCTGTGCTTCAGAAATGCTAAAGCCATCATGTACTGAAAACTGCCTAGAAGTGACCTTTTTTGTTGAAATAACTTGGCAATATTTTATGCACAATGGGATAGTTAACACTTGTCTTATTATCCCTTCTGATTTAATATATAACAGAGACTGTTTTAATTTATTTTTTACTTTCTGTATCTTTTGAAGTGTCTAACTTATTGAGTTGCCCTTGCTTTTTTCAGCAATTTCTTTTTCTTAGAAGTCTGTAACAAAGTTTTAGTTGAAATTCTTGCAGTGTTACTCTGCCACACTCTATACTAATGGCATTTTTCATGTTTGCTTGGTTGCATTTAAGTGTTCACTAAGATTCTGTTTCTCTTCACAGTTCATTTTGCACTTTTGCTATTGTGGGTTCACATTGGTACTATTGTGGATTTACACTTATGCCATTGTGAATTCACACTGGTACTTTTGAGAATTCAACTTAAAGTGTTATCAGTGCCACAAATGTGGGTTTTTTTCTGGCACTGCTTACATTCTCTCCGCTCTCGTGTGAATGTCTTGAGCACATACACTGTTATTGGTCTGTGTAGTTCCCATGATGTGCATGATTTGTCATGTGTTGTAGCTGGCACGTTCCACAGTGTTTGATACCTCTGATGCATCAAAGCCATCCACTCAAAATTACCGTACAAGTAAAGGGTAAGCAGCAGGTTTGATTGGGGAGAGCACGAGCAAGGGTTTGATAATTGTCTATTTACTGTGTGCACTGAAGTATACACTGGTCAAACATTGAAGAAATATTTTCACTACTTGCTTGGAGTGAAGTGTGCAATATATAATAAGTATACAAGAAAGACGATGAAAGATTTCTTTACGATTATCAGTTTGATAACTTTGTAATAAGCTATCACAAACATTGATTGATTGTAAATATATCACTCTAAAATTGATACATTTTAAAAGTAGAAGTTATAACTAATGAATCATAATATTGTTTTTTTTAGTTAAGGAGGCCAAATATATATATATATATATATATATATATATATATATATATATATATATATATATATATATATATATATATATATATATATATATATATATATATTTTTTTTTTGGGGGGGGG